AGCAACTACATGTTGTGCTTTTGCAACTGCCATTCCATATCCTGGAACAATTGCAATATTATGTGCTTCCATTAAAATTTTTGCAAGTTCTGCTGTTTGAATTGTATTAGCTTCTTTAGGTCCTTCATCTTCTTGATTTTTTGTTTTATTTGTTGTTGCTCCAAATCCTCCAAAAATAACTGACATAAATGATCTATTCATAGCTTTACACATAATATATGATAAAATAGCTCCTGATGATCCAATTAATGCTCCTCCAACAATCATAGCATAATTATTTAATAAAAACCCTGATGCTGCTGTAGCCCATCCTGAATATGAATTTAACATTGAAACTACAACTGGCATATCAGCTCCTCCAATAGCCATAACCATATGCCATCCAATAAAGAATGAAATAATTATTACTATAATTAAAATTCCTCCATTAATATAAACTGAATATATTTCTAAATTATTTATAATATTTGAATCATTAAGAGTTAAATATTCAAAAATAATATATGGAATACATAATAAACATCCTAATATAACTAATCCTCCATTTAAAAAATGTCTAAAATTTCCTCCAATAATAAGTGGTTTAGATCTAATGATTCCTTGTAATTTTCCAAATGCAACAATAGATCCTGTAAATGTCATTCCTCCTATAAATATTCCTAATACTGTTTCAAGTCCAATCATAATTAAATATGAAATTTCTTTTTCTTCTTTATATTTACTATGATCATTATTATATGTTTCTGCATCTTTTAACCAATGTGCTATTCCTACAAATACTGCTGCAAGTCCTACAAATGAATGAAATCCTGCTACTAATTGTGGCATTTGAACCATTTCTACTCTTGATGCTATAAAAATACCAATACATGCTGCTGGAATTAAAAATCCTAAATATCCAATAACTAAATATATAATATTTGTTTTTCCTGTTTCTTCTCCATAAACTTCTGGATCAAAATACTCTCCAATCTTATCTACAACTGCTGCAATAAATGCAACACTCATTCCAATAATTCCATATATATTTCCCATTTTTGCACTTATTTGTGTTGATAATCCTCTTAATGCAAGAATAAAACAAAGTGAAACAATAATATTCCCAACTGAAACAAAATTGTTTATAATCTTCATATAATTAAACACTTCTTCTTCAATACTAGAACTTGTGTTCATTTATTTAGATTGTTATTATCTATTTTTTTTGTTCTCTTTAAATACTCTTCTCTTCTTTAGATTCTTTCTCTTTTCATCTAATGAATTTCAATTGAAATCGAATTCATTCATTTATATCATTTCGAATATCGTATATATCGAATATCTTTCCTTTATTTCTATAAATATCTCTGTAAAAAATCTTTAAAACTTCCTTTTTTTTGAATAGTTTAACCTTATCTGTTCTCATTTCATCTTAAATTC